GGAAGACAATCTCTTCTCACTGACGCAGTGCATCGAAAAAGCCGAATAAGAACACAGGCTCTGTGGCTAGCATTTTTGGATATCACGGGAGTGTACGATAGCGTAGTTCAAGACGACTTATGGGGATTTGATTGCTATGATTGATATGCGGGGTTTAACATCCCAAAACCACTATATGATTATGAGAGACGCTGTAGTGGAGGGCTCCGGAAATTTCGACCACCTGGGGTTCCTTAACGTGCACACAAATCTGAGGACACGGGCCTACAACATTTCCGCCTCCATCGGAATTGCAGCCACTGGAACCGGGATTTGAACCGGCCACCTGCGGATCAGCAGCCGAGTACCTTAGACACTAGACCACCACGGTGGGACGTCTTGTGGGGAATATTGAACACAGTAGGCGTAGAAGATGGAGTCACTAATCTTTTAAAGGATCTATAAAGGTAACAAGGCAGTTATGAAGTGGGAAAAACAGGTATCTAAGCCCACAGAGGTAAAACAGGGGCTTAGGCAGAGGTGTCCTCTGTCACCCTTGTTGTTCATGATTTACCTACAAGGATAAGAGGCCAAATTATAGGGAAGTTGACTGGGCTTCAACATCTCTTTCGTCATCAAGCAAAACTCATTGAACCGGCACTACCAGCATTGATGTCCGCAAAAAATATAGGGCTAATGGCCGACAACAAGGAAAATTTGCAAAGATTGATTGACATCTGTGGTAACGAAAAAGATAGGTTACATTTGAGATTCAGTAAGAAAAAAAAATCAGCAGTCATTATTTTTAATGATATTGAAGGTAGTGAGCTTAGAATACAGGAGGTCACGCGAGAGATAGCAGATGAATACAAATATCTGGGCGTATGGATAAGCAATGGGGCCGAGTACCTAAGAGAACACGAAATACACGGTACGACTAAAGGTAACAGGAATGCAGCGGTTATGAAAAACAGGGCAATGTGGAAAAATATAGGTATGATGTTGTGAGAGGAATATGGAAAGGGGTCAAGGTTCCTGGTCTGACGTTTGGCAATGCGGTCTTGTGCATGAGATCATAAGTTCAAGCAAGATTAGAAATTAAGCAACGTGAAATAAGTAGGCTCACCTTAGGAGCTCACGGGAATACACTAAGTCAGGGAGTACAAGGTGATATGGCATGAACATCATTTGAGGGCAGGGAAGCTAGCAGCAAGATAAAATTTGAGAAGCGATTGAGAGAAATGGGGGAGGAGCGTTGGGCTAGGAAGGTAATCAGCTACATGTACATGAAGAATGTCGATACAAAATGAAGGAAGCGAACCAGAAAATTGACTGGTAAATACTTAGCAAACAGCAGGGCGCCAAACCAAAAAGAATTATCGGTTAAGAAGAAGGTGAAGGAGGCTGAGACCGATATGTGGAGAATCGGCATAAATAAGAAGCCCGCACTAAAGATCTATCGAAGTTTTAGGCTGGACATTGCCAAGGAAAGCATCTCTGATAATACTCGGGGTAGTTCTCTGCTGTTTGAGGCCAGGACGGAAGTATTGCGAATCAAGACATATCGGGCCAAATACGAAGTGGTAGACACGGTATGCAGTGCATGCGGACAGGAGGAGGAAACTGCCGAACACCTAATAATGTGCTGTAAAGGGCTTCACCCTATAGTTCAGGATGATGGTGCAGTGTTTTTCAAAGCACTGGGGTTTAGGGACCGGGAGGGCAAAATAGACTTTAAGCAAGTAGACTTAACTAGAAGGAAGTTATCTGATTGGTGGCTAAAGTCAAGGCACGAGTGAAAATTAAACTCTTCACTGCAAAGTACGAAGCCTTCTCGGAGTGTCGTCGTACTTAGTCAGGTGAACTCTAGTGCGCTCCGCGTTTCACACAGTCAAACTTCAGCCTGGTGTAGCAGTGCTGGCGGGGGAACACGGATCTTCCGTGTTGGCTGCGTCCATGGCGTCGCAAGCACTGGGTGAAGCAGCTTCGCATGTGTCGCCAGCAGCCGCGTTTGTCACCGCCCGCAATTTACGGCGCTCAAACCGAGCAGATTTTGAAGCTGGCTATTCAAGACAACCATGGCCCACCAACGTGTCCGGCACCTAGTCAGCGTTCGTGTCATCGAAGAGGTTAGTGGGCCTTCCTGAAAAGCAAAGCGCGTTTTCTGTGTTCAATGCGACGCATCACCCTTCGACAAAAATTTACTTCGCGTTTGATGAACCGATCCGCGACGGTTCGCTCAGTGAAAATGTGAGGAGATCCGGAACATACTTGCCTGTTAAGAAGTGACGCCCGCACAGACGAGTTGTTCACTGTTTGGAGTACCTTACGATTAATGCGCGCAAGCCATGTCCTCCTTCACCCCTCTCACAGCTTTTTTGGTCGCATGTGGTGCTTCACTACCTTGGGCACGCAAAAAGTTCCCACGTCGGGTCCATCGCGGTGCGATTTGTATTAATTAGCGCGCGGCAGCCAAACACCGAAAAAATCGACATACCACCTTTACGAGAGTTGCTCTAGAGCGGCACAGCTTGACTTGGTGTCGTCTGCTGCTATGTGCTCGGCCAAGGCGGCGCATGCCGAGATCTTATCCCAGAGTTTCGTGGTGTAACGTAATGGCAAGTTATGTATACACGTCATTAAAATGAGTTTGAGATACTTTTTTCTTCTCGCTTCGTGCGCTCGACTAGTGCGGTGAAAGCGCTTGAACACTCTCCCAACCGGCAGTAAGATACCATGGATTCTGAGTTGAATTTCCGCATCAAATGTGAAAAAGAAGACTCTTCTTCCCGCTTAATTTCATCGCATTGGGTTGTTCCAATTCAACCCATAGTTAAACTTTTTTTTCTGGTTGACGGCATTGCGCTGTCTGCCCCGCAGAGGTAGTCTAGTGACTAAGGTTCTCGGCTGCTGACCGGAAGTTCGTCGGATTGAATCCCGGGTGCGGCGGGTGTATTTCCGATGGAGGCGGAAATGTTCTATGCCCGTGTGCTCAGATTTGGGTGCACGTTAAAGAACCCCAGGTGGTCCAAATATCTGGAGCCCTCCACTATGGCGTCTCTCGTATAATATGGTGGTTTTGGGACGTTAAACCTCACATATAATCATCATCATCATCGTCGTCGTCATCATCATCGTCATAATCATCATCATCACCACCATTTATTGTTGACAAGAGTTCGTGGGCGCTGATAGGAGCTAAAAACAACGAATGAACACCTCGGTTTTCTAACGTACTGGCAAGCATCATCCGAACTTCGGGTTGTAGTCATGTCAGTGAAAAAAAATATTGAATTCATCAGCCGATTCTGGCCTCTCTACATTTTTTGTCGTTAATTTTCCACTCGAAAACAGGGGCGGTAGTGCAACCACGATGAAGGAACGTGTTTAATCTAGCCCCTGAAACGTGGGAGCGCTTGCCAGGAACGTTTTAGGTGTATAGCTTGATAGCGTGTTTTCGCAGACCGTAAATCGTAAATATCTTGTAGGTCTGTTGCGATAGCTCTAGAAGACTGCTAGGTCCTCCGTAAACATGTTCGCGGAAATTTTTCGTAAAGTTTATCTCGTTTTTTTTTTTTCATTTGATTACGGAACTCGGGAGTTATCCATGGTTTTCGTATTTTACGAATAAATTTGCGTTCTTTTAGTGGGAAACGCACATGAAATGTTCATTTAAAAATTGCAAGAAATTTATCGTAATCGCGATTTTAATCTACAATTATTGTTATATTGGTCAAGTCTATCTGCAACAAATTTTCACGACATGCGCCCAGTGCCTTTTTTGTAATAGATTGAAGCATGATCTTCCGAGGCTTTGTTGTATATTGTGTCATTGAAAGTGCACATAAAATTAACTAGAACATAGTCACTGATACAATATGATAGAACACTCGACCTAATACTTATTTCAGGCAAATTTGTGATAAAAAGATCAAGAACTGACTTGCACTCAAGGGTCACTCTGGCGGGTATTGTATTTGTGTTCATGAACGTAATCACAGTCATTGGACGTAATGACACTATTAAAATCACCAAACATAGAGCTTGTAGATCCAACGTCAGTGTTGAATTTTCCTCATGGCTTATTTTCTGTCATATAGGCCAGGAAGGGATAAAAAGAAACCGACAATTGCGGCGTTATCCTCATGTGGTGGTTAATACAAAACTGAAAACATGGTGTTGTTGGCATCAACACAAAGCACTTTGTAATCAGGGGTAGTACGAGTAAAGCAATCCAACAATTCACATTAAATAGTATCAGATCTTATTAGAGCAACGCCCCAACCACCACCAATTTGACGGTTTAAATAAATTGTTCTGTAATTCAAGAGCCTAAATACATTCTTTTCATTTCTGCTTTACGTTTCAGTGATAATTATGACCGAGTATTTGAATAAACAGTCGGTCAAAAACTCCTTTAGTCATACCTTCTTTCTTACCGACCTAGCATTTAAGTAAGTGCACACATGTACATGAATTACGAGGTAGCTGACATACGATATCATTCAGGTCATTTCGTAGATGAATGGTAAGAACTCGTGTAGAATGTTTTACAGAGTAATACAACCAGGACAAAGTAATCTAAAGCCGATCAATGTCATCATAGTTCCGAATATAAAGCACACGTGCTCCCTTCGTCTTCTGCACAAGAATCATTCGCAGGAGCCTATGGGAGTGTTTTCTCTTAAATTTTTGTATATGAATCTATGTTTGACTCACGGCCATGGCCATTTTGACATAAAAGGGCAAGTCATGAACGCGCCGATCGACGTGGCCAACACTGTGCAGTGCCGGCCGCAGAACGTGCCCAACAATGCTGTCTTCTATGTACTGTACCATCGTGCGCCGGCTCGTTAGCCCTTTGATGCCCAAAATTTTGTTTAAATGCACAACATGAAGAAAAAACTGGCAGGCATAAAGAAAGGTCACAATATGCCAATTACGTTGTCAGAAAAAAATTATGTTTATTTATAGGTGAGTAATGAGGTGTTGCTCCTGAGCAACATTGGGCACTTGAGGCACTACTTCACGTGGAATGCCTTGAAGCAGTTCCGGCTTGGAAGGAGGCACAAGTGCATGTTGCACTTAGCACAGTACAGAAACGTGTAGCCGAACTTGCAGAACTTGCATCGGTTCTTTTTTTCGCCGTACTGTGGCCAGTGGTTCATGCCATCGTACCTCACGTCCACTGTAGGCCTCAGTGTCACCGGAGAATGGATCAAGTGTTTGGCGGGCACGATTCCAGCTTCAGCAGCCAAACCTGACCTTCTTTTCAAAGGATTTGACTTCAGATGTGCAAGGGTTTGGGCAATCTGCATTCGAAAAGCTAGCAGAGACAACCTTCTTTTGATAGATAGCTGGGCACAGTGGCGTTCATACAGGAGCCACCCATTGACAATTGAATCATCCATCATCCGGTAAAAAATGCGCATGTACCATCTTTTCGATTTGTGGTCTGTGCGGTACAGCTCAATAAGCATGTCGGCGAGATCAACACGTCCCATGAAGGCATTGTACTCCTTTACGGTTAAAGGGCGTGGAACATCAATGCTGCGCTTTTCTTTGCTGTTCCACCGCTTGCAAAGGTCGGTTGGTTGGACACCAGCGTAGCTTGACACGAGGTGTACGGAGTTGCTGTCAAACCATTTGATGACTCCAATGTTAGAGTCCTCGTCCACGCAAAAATTTACCGAGCCTCTTCCTTGCGCCTTGAGAGTTGAGTCAGGTGCCAGCGGACACTTCTCCGTCCTGTCGACTCTAACGGTACCAGCACTCAGAAATCCTTTGCACTTCAACTCGTCTACCGGGCGCAGACTGCTGAACCAGTTATCAAAAAATAACTTGTGGTTCCTGTTTTCCGGAAGATCTTTCACCAGATCGATGACTATATCACCAGAGATGCCGAATCCATTGTCATGAGTAGTACCTTTACCTTCATAGATGATGAAGTCGTGCATAATTCTGGAGAAACCTGCCCTTGTGAACACCTTATAGCCCCAATTGTGGGGCTTCGATTTCATGCACTGCTTTAGCGGTGAGCGCCCCTTGAAAGGAATAATTTGCTCGTCCACACTCTGCCATTCTTCTGGGGCCACTGCCTTCATGTTCTTCTTCAGCTGTTACCCAAGTGGGCGCACCTTGAAAAGGCGGTCGTGGCCCTTAGCGTCTCGTGGCTTTGCCTGACAGTTGTCGTTCATAATTAGGCATTGATGTATGGCCTCGAATCTATTTCTAGACATGAGGTCGGCTACAGGCTGAAACCTCGTTTCATACTGCCATAACATCCGGAAATGAGGCACCCTGACTGTCCCTGAAATCACTAATATGGAGAGATAATTCCTTATCTCCTCCTTGGTGATGTTTGCACAGGTGCCATTCTTCTGGGTGGAATACAGATTTGATTGATAGCGCAGTGTGTCTACCATCTCTTCATCGAAAAAGGCACAAAAGTATTGGTATGCACTTAGCACATCGTCGGGCGGTGGGGGCAGCTCACCCTTCAGGCTGTGTCATCAAGCATAATGTCTTTTGTTGTCCATTTTCTGCGAACGCTTTCTTTCATCTTTCTGCACTGCGCGGCCGTGTGGCGGGATGTTCCCGGAACAGCTTCAACAGGGTTGCTTGGCATTCCTCCGTCGTCGTCTTCTCGCGGATGTTGGTCGCGAAGATTTATCACAACTTCGAGCGGACAGGAATCATTCAATTTTTTATCATCTCTAGGTTCATATTCGGGATCATCTGGGTCGCTGTCAAAATCAACGTCGGATAATTCACCATCCGGAAGGAAGATTAGCTCCTGTATTTCTTCATCTGTCAGCCATTTCTTTTCTTTTGACATCGCCATCTATACATGAAAGACAAAAGAATATTGTCCAATAACTATCACGTATCGTATTTTGTAGAAATAAGATTATGTTATTGCCTGGTTTTGCGTTCAGTCAAGCAGAGAAACGCAACAAGCGTCCAACCCTATATCGGCTTGCACCTCCGCAAATGCCCGACGTTGCTCGTGAGCAACAGCGTTTTTGGAGGGAAGATTTCTAAAGCGTAAAATGCGGCCACACCATTCAGTCTGTTCATAAGTGTTCTACGACGCCTTATGCGCAATTTTGAGTATAACATAGCTCGCGGTAGCGTCCCGTTCCGCTGTAGTAGGATAAATTCACTCACGTGTGCGGAGCTTGCGTTGCCACCTCTCAAACGCTCGAACAAAGTGCTAGAAAAAGGCAATGCTGCCATCTGTGTGTATTTCTTTGAAGCTTAGGACGCTTGGTAGACTTTGTCTCTTTCCACAGATGGCGCTAGCAGTATCCCACAACAACATGCTTTTGCGGAAAAAATTATTTTTGGGGTTGTTGCCCCAGAGCAACAGTGGGCATCAAAGGGTTAACAAGCCTTCCTACGGAAATGGCCTCGCCAAGAAACGTCCCGTGCACCTCCGAGCAAGCTCATCTAACATCATTCACTTTGCGGATATGGCGCTGATTTTTTTTTATATTCTTATCGCATGGTTATCCCCCCTATTAAAGATTTCTGGCCTTATCTCTCAGTGTTGCGGCCTTTTTTTTTATTTCAACGCATGCAGAGCAGTCCTTAGCCTCTTCCTCTTCTTGAGTATATTGTCAGCCTCCATTTTTCTGCTGTACGTTGGAACTGGAAACATGCAATAGACCTTTTTCGAGCACACTAGCGCCACCAACGGGCGCGTAAGCGCGTATGGGAGAAGTTGCTACGCCGCAGTAGCCGCCACGACGAGCGTGTGGACCTAACGCTTCAACTTTCCGTTGTCACCCTGCCAGCGCTTGTAGGATCAAGTGAACTCAGCATGGTGAGATGTATTACTGCGTGATTCTCTCACAGACTTCGTCGTTTAGCCGCGATGGCCTGTCTACGATTTGCACTTGTCCCCCTATTCAACCAGCTGAGCAGCCCAGAAGTTTGTTATTATCCTTTAGCGTCAGTCCGCTATCGGCATAAATAAAAGAACAGCACAACTATAGGTTGCCTAAAAGGTGCAAGCACTGTTCATAAATTCACTGAAGCTTTAGGAATCAATGCCTTTTGACGCTGTTTACGAGTAAATTGTACGGTTTTGGAATATTAAAGAGTGTAACGAAGGCACTGGACACGTAGCTCGAGTGGAGAAAGAAGAAGGAGACGCGCTGTGATCACAGGCTTGCATCGAGTTAGCCCTTGCAATAAATAAATCTCTCGTTCACAGAGGTAGCTCCCTCTTGTTCTACCCCCTGTTTGAAGTGGTGGAGGTGCTGAATATCGGTCCCAGTACCTACAAATAGAATAACCAGTATTCTGTGAAATAATATACATTCACTAAACTATAGATGTGCGCGTCACTTTCACAATATGCACTTACCAACTTTCCCTGCCACTGTAACTATAAGATGGAATCAAACTTACAAAGCGAAAACAAAAAAAAGTATAGGACCAGGAAAGATATATGCACACCGGAAACGCTCACACACGACTGAAAGGTAATCGCACGTGTTAAGAAACATATGTAAGAAAAGGTAAGCGGCAAGTTTCCGGCCTTTATGCTTGGGAATGCCTGCCACATGCTGAACATCATTTCAAAATTCTTTGTTGAATTTCCTTTCCACAAGTGGCCCTTTAGGTTTACCTACTCTTGTACAGGCTCCAGGGTTGGTTGCCAACTACACTATTATAAAACAAAGCCCCAGAAGATCATGTTTCAATTATGACGATTATGATAAATTTCTTGCAATTTTCAAACGAACATGTCATGCGTGTTTCCCACTAAAAGAACGCAAATTTAGTCGTAAAATATCCTTAAACCTTGGATAACTCCCGAGTTCCGTGATCAAATGAAAAAAAAAAGCGAGATAAACTTTACAAAACCTTTCCGCGAACACGTTTACCGGAGGACCTAGCGGTCTTCTGGAGCTATCGCAACAGACTTACAAGATATTTACGGTCCGCGAAAACGCGCTATCAAGCTATACACCTGAACGTTCCTGGCAAGCGCTCCCACGTTTCAGGGGCTAGATTAAACACAATCCTTCATCGTGGTCGCACTACCGCCCCTGTTTCCGAGTTGCAAATCAACGGTGAAAATGTAGAGGGGCGAGAATCTGCTGATGAATTCATTATTTTTTTCCCTGACATGACGACAACCGGAAGTGCAGATGATGCTTGCGAGTATTTAAAAAACGGAAGTGTTCATTCGTTTTTATCTCCTATCAGCGCCCACGAAGTCTTGTCAACAATAAATGGTGATGGTGATGATGATGATGATTACGGTGGTGATGATGATGATTATGACGATATGTGGAGTTTAACGTCCCAAAACAACCATAATATACGAGAGACGCTGTGATGGTGGGCCACAAATATTTCGACCACCTGGGGTTCTTTAGCGTGCACCAAAATGTCAGCACACGGGCATAGAACATCTCCGCCTCTACCGGAAATGCAGCCGCCGCAGCCAGGATTCAGTTCGACAACCTTCGAATCAGCAGCCGAGTACTTTAGCCAATAGATCACCACAGCGGGGCAAAAAGCGCGATCTCGTCAACAAAAAAATAAGTTGAAATAGTGGTTAAGTTGGAGCATGCCAAGGCAGTGAAAGTGAGAAGAAAAGTCTTGTTCTTCATAATTGATGCTCAAATTTAACTCAGAATGCATGAGATCTTGTTGGGGGTTGCGAGAGTGTGCAAACGTTTTCACCACACTAGTCGAGCGCACGATGCAAGAAAAGAAAAAGCCTCTCAAACTAACTTTGAAGACGTGTATACTTAACTTGCACCTGCGTTACACCGCGGAACTCTGGGATATAATGGCCGAGCACATAGCAGCAGACGACATCCAGTCAAGCTGTGCCGCTCTATAGCAACTTTCGTAAAGGCGGTACGTCGATTTGTGCGGTATTTGACTGGCACACGCTAAGCAATTGCAAATCGCACCGCGATGGACCCGACATGGGAATGTTTTGCGTGCCCAAGGTAGTCAAGCACCACATGCGACCAAAAGAGCTGTGCGAGGGGCAAATGAGGACATGGCTTGCCCAAATTATTTGTAAGGACCTCAAAACATTGAACAACTCGTCTGTGCGGGCGTCACTTCTTAACAGACAAGTATGTTCCGGATCTCCTCACATTTTCACTCAGTTAACCGTCGCGGATCGGTTCATCAAACGCGAAGTAAATTTTTGTCGAAGGGAGATGCGTCGCATTGAACACAGAAAACGCGCTTTGCTTTTCAGGAAGGCCCACTAACCTCTTCGATGACACGAACGCTGACTAGGCGCCAGACACGTTGGTGGGCCATGGTTGTCTGTAACAGCCGGCGTCAAAATCTTCTCGGTTTGATCGCCGTAAATTGCGGGCGGCGACACGCGCGGCTGCCGGCGACTCGTGCGATGATGCTTCACCCAGTGCTTGCGACGCCATGGACGCAGCCAACACGGAAGATCCGTGTTCCCCCGCCAGCACTGCTACACCAGGCTGTAGTTTCACTGTGTGAGACGCGAAGCTCACCTGTCTAAGTATGAGGAAACTCTAAGAAGGCAACTTCTTGCTTGTGATGCATACTGTAGCTATCCGGTAGTAAAATATTGGTTAGAGTCTAGCGACTTGTACGCTTTCATCTGTTCAAGCGAAACATAATTTGTCGACAGTGTTATGTCGATGTTGGCGTGGGTGACCTACGGACGCACGCTTCTATTGAGGGCGTCTTGAGCACCAACCCGCCGCTCGCACGCATCCATTCCGTCGCATAGGGCTATTTTTCCCCTGTATCTGGCCTGCGGTGGCCCGACAAGCTTGTCAAAGTAAGCAAGATAGTGTTCCGCACGATTCTCTATAGCCAGACGGGCAAGGCAAACGATGAAAACACAGGCACTATGGGAAAAGTCCCGCCGCGCGGCGACAGAAACGTATGTGCTCGGCCATGGCGGACGCAACACCGGAAGACAGAAACTGACGTCGCGTGCATGAAACGAAAACATAAGATACAAATCACAACCATTTTCATTGATGTTTAGTAGCATACGAGCTGTTCCTAACACCATCTCCCGCACTTGTTGGTAAGCTAAGACGTTGCGTATAGTGTCGAGGGTATGAAAAAG